GATACCGTGAACACCGAGCGCCGCGCCCGACACGCCCAGTCCCTCCCAACCCGCCTCTGCCAGCACAGGGCGGTGTGGGGCTCCCTCCGTGCCAGCCCCCGCCCCTCCACCCAGCAGAGCCACAAGGAACCGAGCCAGAGCTGGGCCCCTCCTTACTGCCTGCACTGGGGCCAGGCCTGCTGTCCCTGGCAGACTCCCCCAGCAAGCTCCGAGCTCCCTGCCTGCGGGGGCCAAGCCCTGCCAGCCACCCCGGGACACCCATCCAGCAAACCAGACCCAGGCGTCCCGCGTGGCCCGGCAGTGGGCAGGGACCGCCCCCTCCAGCACGGCCCAGGGGGTGGAGCAGGGGTAAGCTGGGCAGAATCCACCAGGGAAAGGGGGCAGGGGTGTCAGCAGAGGCCCGGGGGGGGGTACAGCCATTGTGCAGTCTGTCCCTTCACCTTCCCACCAGGCACGCCTCTGCCCACAGCCCCCCCGGCAGCGCCAAGGGTACCAGGGCCTGCTGGGATTGTCTCCACGGCGGGAGGAGGGGCTGGAGACACGGAGCACGGCTGCTCTCCGGGGAAGTGCCCGGGCTGGCTCTGTGGAAGGGGAGACCTCAGGCCGCAAAGCCCTTCTCCGCCAGGCCCGCTGCCCCCGTGGGGCTGGGCTAAGCCAGGCGGGGAACCCCTGGGGGTCAGGCGCCCTCGGGATCGCCACTGCAGCGGGCAGGGCGGCAGCACGCATGGGGCTGGCCACGTGGGGGCTGGCCCAGGGCCGAAGGGGAGTCCTGCCTCAACCCCCTGCAGCTGTGGCCGGGCCGGGCTTTGGCCGCATTAGAACGCAGGGCAGCCCGCGGAGCAGGATGGGACGGCCCCCAGCCGAGAAGCCGGCCCGCGCTGCTGTTGGGACACTCCCAGCTTGTTTCACGGGGACTAGCGGGAGGCAGTGTTGCCTAGTGGCTAGAGTCCAGCTGCCCGCCCTGGGGCCGCCCCTCTCCCCGAGCATTTCTGCACAAGAGGAAGTCGGTCCCTAAAAATAGCCCCTTGGCCCCAGGGGAGTGGCGTGCTGGGTACAGCAGGCGACAGGGAAGCGAGGCTGCCCCGCACGGCCACCCATTGTTGTGCACCTCCGACTGCCACGGTGCTGCCCCCGCCTACCCCTGCGGCATCCAGCCCTCCAGAGGGACCCCCACTGGCGCCCCTGCATGGTGGGCACTGGCAGGGCTGGCGTCTCTCCTGCAGCCTGCCTTGTCAGCTCCCCCGTGCAGGGTGTGCCTGGGGGGCAGCTGCGGGCCCAGGCAGCAAGGGGCTGCGGGCTGGGACTCGGCACCGTGCTCATGCTGCTTGGCAAAGCCGAGTAAGCAGAGACTCGCCCCTCGCTCGCTGGCGCCACAGATCGGCAGCTCAGCCGGTTCCCTCGAGAGCAGGGACCGTCCAGGACCAGTTGGCACGGTGCCCTGGAGGAAGTGACCCCACCTCGGGCTCCTGTGAGCCAGCAGGGGTAGGGGGCAGGCAGGAAGCCCCCGCAGCGCCTACGGGGG